GACCAGCAGCATAAGATAGAGGCTGCTTTTTTTTGACCTTGGATTTACCTTTTTCAGAGCCTTGGAAATTACATCTAGTCTTAGTAGGGTTTGTGTGTTGAGCTCAGGACGTCTGGTTGGGCCAGTGCGCATTGGGAGGGGGTTGTGGCGTGAGTGCATTTTCCATCACTGTGCAAGCTGGTGACTTAAAATCCGTACGTGGGGAGAACTTAAGTGAGGGTTGAGTGTGGGGAGGAGAAGTGTTTTGGAGTAATGAATGGAATTGGATGTAGGCGGAGAGTCTGAACTCTGTCTGGGAGAGTAATAAGCAATGAGGAGGCTGCTGGACCTGACCTGACTTTTCAGTGCTGTGCATTCCTCATCTCAGATGCTATCTGGCCCCATGAGCTCCTGCAAGTGCTCTTTTTAAAAATGGAATTCCTCTTCTTGCAGCCTAGGCTAACTCTATAGGTTTTGGGTTTGGTTTTTGTTTTGTTTTTTTGAAGGGTTGGGAGAAAATAAAGACCTCGTAGTTTCCTAAATTCAGTTTTATTTGATGTGGCTCTACTGATCATAAACTTAGAGTTGCAAAGCTTTCTAGGGGACAAAAAGCTTTTCTGTGTGAGGTTTTTGTTTAAAATGGGTCACATGCCCAGGAATGCAGTCAAATTATAATGGTGACTAAGTGCCGGAAAGCATAGAAAAGGGGAGAGAAGGGTGAGCAGAAAAAAAAGGAGCCGGAGGCGATGGAAGGAAGGCTGGGAAAATGAGAATCTGGCCAGGCCTCAGGGCCAGGTTAGAGATTCCTACACCCATTAACAACCTCAGGAGATGTTTATTTACAAGGAGCTAATCTTTGTTTTTAAAAAAATGACAAGTACCCAAAAATCTCAATTTTGGGAAGTGAGTTGGAGGCACAGTAGGGATGGGAGGAGGGAACTGGTTCTGATCGGGTACCAGTCCCCAGCTCTGGGAGATCTTCCTTTCATCCTATACATCTGGGAGCACTGGCTGTTGAGAAATGCATGAAAGGGGGATAAACTCTTGTAATCTAGTAAGTGGTTCACAACCCCTAGTTTAAGAGTTTCTTCATATTTGTGCTTTTCTGATCTTTTCTACCTAAGCAGCTCCACCAAGGATATTGAATAATTAAGTTTATGGTATGAGAAAGATGGGACCTAAAGCTGCCTTTTCCCCTCTCTTTAATCAACCCTGGATCGTGAAACTAAAACAAATGTTGAGCAGCTGCTTGAACTGGGTATGTTCATGTAGACTCTAAAGAGACCTTGGTCCCAGGTCTCAGTGGTACCTACCTTTTGTCACCTCTTGAGCTGTGTTTATCTTGGCTTGTCTCATCTTGTCCCAATAACTTTGATTTGTATCCCAGCAATTTGGTAACTTTGACTGTAAGTAGAGAATTTTCCAGCAATGTGGTGGAATTCTCTATACTTCGGTGAGCTGCTGCAAAAGATAGTCTGTCTTGGGGCATGTGTGCATTGGGTAGTTATACAGATGAATAAATTTTATTTTTGAACATATCTTGATTTCTAATTATTATATCTGGTAATGTGATTGTCAGGTGGGTGAGGGTCTGGAGCAATTTCTTTAGTAGTTTTCTGGCTAGACACACTCTTCTGGCTTCTAGTTTCAGTGTTGTCCTGACTAGTGTTTCCGTCTGTTCTTGTATGGTGTCATCTTAACTGGTTTTCTTTAGTCTCTATTAGAAGAGTGATGTAGTGTTTCTCTGTTCTGGTAGTTTCTTTCTGTGTTATTCTTGTTTTAATTACATTTTGTCTCAACTGGTGTTGCATTCGGTATACTAGATCAGGTCTTGATCAGATTTAAGGCTTATACACTAGTGATCATCAGAGATGGCTTTCTCTGCTGATAAGCACCCACTCTGTTCGGTGTTCCTTTCTTGTCAACTCTCACGAGTGCACTTGCTCTGGTGTGGCTCAGGCACTATCAATGTTTGCCAGTTCATCATTTGTGGAACTAGAGTGAGAGCATACCTGTGACCAGCTTGAGTGTATTTGGTGTCCGTATAGCATCAGTCCTGGTTGATAATCTCATCTCTCTTCCTTTGTCTGCAGAGAGGCTGGCATTCCAGTGAAGGAAAGGGTGAAAGTATCTCAGAACTGGAGGCACGGACGCTGCCAGAGGGAGACGGTCCTGAAATGGAAATGCAAGCAAGTGGCTCCTTTCTCTTCTACTTTGTTTTGTGTCAGCTGCTGTGGGGCCTTGGATTTGTGTCTGTGCCCTGAAATGAGATGATTCCCGCTCCTTGTGATTCACAGGGTCTTACAAGTGATGCTGCTGGCCTCTTTGGGATGTTGCTGGCTAGCTGGATGTGGGGTAACTGGAGCTGCAAGACGTAGAGATTCAGTCTGAGAGTCAAGAGCTGCTCTCTTAGTAAGAGGTTCAATTTGGCATTGTTCTGATCTGTGCAGTTCTAGTAGAATTTAGCAGTCTTTACTACAGACTTCAAACTGTTATGTTCCTATCTATTGCTGTATTCCATGAGCAATTTTTTGTGCTGCTCTCACAATGAGCATAACTTGATCCCAGACATGGACTTATGTGTCCCCTCAAAGTGCCTGGTTTGTGTCCCATGCTTTGTCCTGGCCCCTGATCTGGATGTACAAATATAAAATGCTAATTGCCATTCTTCCTCCTTCTGCTTCTGCATTCTCCTACCTTATGCTTCCCTCCTTCACTTAAAAAAAAAAAAAAAAAAAAAGGTGTATTTGACATTAATGAGAGGAGATTGTCGTTAAATTCTTGCTTGCAAAGAGGTACTCAGCTTTCAAGGCAAAGCATAAGATAGGTCTCTTGTCTGAACAGCACATCTAAATTTCAGCTTTTCACGTCATCAGACAGAAGGAGAAATGAGAAAGACTATGGTTTGTGAGATGTTGAAGAACATGGACCTGCTACTGAGCTTTCATGCCTTTTCATGCTGTGTAGATTGAAGTGATGGATAATGTGCCACTGCTTGTCTAAAGTCCTGGGAACAGCTTTAATGAGCAGAGTGAGTTTTGATGCAGGTTGTATACCTGCCTTTGAAGTGCTTGTGACCATCTGTGAAGACAGATTCTGTGGATGTTAGAAATCATTACTAAAGCAGCTTCCCAAGTGAAAAGACAAGGACTGATTTAATGAGGCCACCATCCAAACTGCATCCTCTAATTTTCATTTGTCCTGCTTCAAATTTGTTACTTCTCCTTATGAAAAAAACATAGAAAAAGGTAAAAAGCTAAACTGCAGCAGAAGAGCCACAGAAACTAGCTGTAGTCTAGGTAAGCTGGGTATTCATTTGCTTTTAGAGGACTGTGTAGGAGTGGAGGAAGGAAGGGGAAATCAAAGTCCACCGAAAACCAAAGCTGATGCTCCAAAGATGCCTCTTATTTTTTCCATGTATATGATCAAGTGTCCAATGAACGTTATAACGTGCTCAACTGCTTCGTCCGTGTGACTAAAAGCCTATTATTGGAGATGAATGCAGGCAAGCAGGAACCTTCTATCTAATAAGCAGTCTTGTCCTCTTGCTTGTTTCTAGTCCCGTCGTGCCCCCCCCCGCCCCCC